AAAAAAAAAAAAAAAAAAATCTCCATGCTCAGCCACAACCCTGCAAAAATCAAATCAACAAATTTATTAATAATTTAAAACATTGCAAGAATTTGTAAGTTACATTTCTGGACCAGAACTGGCAAAAGCAGTCTTCTCTGAATTTCATACCAGTAGTAATGAATGTAATGATTACAGAAAAGATGACTTTTTTCTTCATTCCTAGGCCTTGTCAGCTTCAAGGCTTTAATTGAAGAATCTGAAATGAAGAAATTCCCAGACAATGATCTTTTGCGACACCTTCGCTTAGTCACACAGGATGCAGAGAAGTGTGCCTCTGTTGCACAGCAATTGCTTAATGGCAAAAGGCAAACTAGGTATGTGCTTCTGACTGCATGAGTTTGGATTCCTTGGCACCTATGTTTGGAAACCTGTTGTGACTCCTTCTGTCTTGAATTTCTGTGACCACCTGGTGTGGTGGGCATATATATGTTCTTATATGGCTTCCTTGGGCCTTTGTCTTTATAGATACCGATCTGGTGGAGGGAAATCCCAAACTCAGTTGACAGTAAATGAGCTCCGGCAGTTTGTAACACAGTTGTATGCTCTTCCATGTGTCCTCAGTCAAACACCGTTGCTAAAGGTAACCATAGAGGGATGTGTGGGAAAATACTTGGGTAATCCTGTATTTTGTAAATAAACTAGATTGACATTACTAAGTAATCTACTTTGATGATTAATATGTACATTTATCTGCAGATGCTTTGAATAACACATTGAGTGGTATGTGTATAGAAAGAGATTATAGTAGGCCCACAGAGGGGAAATAAAGTTGGAAATTTTTACTTTGAAAGTGACCTCAGCTAGTTCAAATTGGGATAAGCTCTCCGTTATAGTCACTTAGTGTTTGCTGTCAGTTGGCTTATGTATTGTCTTATTTACCTATATAATTACTAGAATTAAATGGGATGGTAAAAGATCTCATTGAATATGAATTTAAGATTCTAAATTTTAAAGAAGCCAATTACTGAAATTACTGTTTTGATGCAACAATCTGTATATTTTTTTTAGGATCTCTTGAATCGTGTAGAAGATTTTCAACAGCATAGTCAGAAACTACTCTCTGAGGAAATGCCTAGTGCTGCAGAGCTGCAGGACTTGCTAGATGTCAGCTTTGAATTTGATGTTGAACTTCCACAGCTTGCTGAGATGCGTATCCGTTTGGAACAGGCCCGTTGGCTGGAAGAGGTGCAGCAAGCTTGCCTTGACCCCAGCTCCCTTACTTTAGATGATATGAGACGTCTCATAGACCTAGGGGTAGGGCTGGCCCCATATTCAGCAGTGGAGAAGGCTATGGCCCGGCTGCAGGAACTGCTCACAGTGTCAGAGCACTGGGATGACAAAGCCAAGGGTCTCCTCAAGGCCAGGTAAAAAAGCAAACATTTCTCTTTCTTTGGGAAGGTTGGACAGTTATTTCCATCTTAAAAGCATAGAGCACAATGATTGGTATACAGCAAGTGCTCGGTAGCTGTAGTTACTATGCATGTGGAAGATATGTAGAAATAGCTGAGATCCTTGGAGCTGCTTTGGGACCTGAATAAAATAATGTTAATTTTTTTTTTTTAATTTACTGATTATAAAATGAATAATTCAATTGGACACACCTTTTCTAGAGTTGGTTTAATGAAATTTCCCTGGATCCTGTTAATATCCTATCTTTGGGAGAGGAAAATATTTACAAATAGGTGAAGCTTTTTAAACTGACAGCATATATGGTTCCAAGGAGTCTTAAAGAGAAATGTCTGAGAGTTAATAGGAACTGTTCTGTAAGAAAACAGTGCAGATAATTTTCAACAAAAACAGACAATGCCATTTGAAAAAATTTATTTGCCATACTGAATTTTCTTTGACATGCTATCTTTTTGGTAACCACAGAAAAATGAACCATCACATAAAATGCTTAGAAGTCTGTGTTTGCATTTTGTAGGCCACGGCATTCATTGAATAGCCTTGCTACAGCAGTAAAGGAGATTGAGGAGATCCCTGCATATCTGCCCAATGGTGCAGCTCTGAAAGACTCAGTGCAGAGAGCCAGAGACTGGCTTCAGGATGTAGAGGCCCTGCAGGTTGGTTTAAAAAAGTATATACGGAATGTGTAAGTGCATCTATAAAGAGCAATATTGGAAAGTTGTGAAGACTGTGTTGGATTTCAGTGCACAGATACAATATTTTAGGGGTTTACCGGAAGACTAATTATATTCATACTTATTTGAATGTATTTGCCAGCTATTATCCTGACCAGTTGTCTCAAATATTTAAAGCTTAGCTAATGTAACCAACATTTTCTGGGATCTGGGGAGTCTTTCATAACAAACTTGAGTACTTGACTGCAGATTGAGGCCAAAGAGTTAACAATGAAAGTAGTGAAAGAGTTGTTTTCTGCTTTTTGATGAGTATTATTACCTCTTATTGGCTTGTCCACAACTTTGGAGTTCAAACAATCAGTAATAGCGGATTCATTGAATCTAGTTATATGATTAAATGCCCAAACTAAACCCCAAGGCCCAGAATTTTCATGAAGTCGTGACTTATATGTACCCTCCCAACCTTACAAAAGAAATAAAACCTACCCCGTTCCAAAATAATTATCCAAAGTATCCAAAGTCATTTCCACCAAGTATTTATGGTCTTTTTTTTTTTTTTTTTTTTTT